AGCCCCATCTGGTTAGGGAAAGTGGCTATGGCCAGTTTTTCTTTGTGGCATATACTATATTACAGTATTGTTTTGATATTGTTACTATAAATGTAATTTTTAACGGATACGTGTTTAAAGATGTATTCCGAAAGCTAAGCATATTATTGAGACAGAAAAACTTCATTAAAAATAAAGAAAAGAATACAGAACTGTTATGTGCTAGCTGTCCTCCTGTATGGCAGTGAATGCTGGACAATCTTCTCAAAGATGAAAAGAGACTTGAAGCAACAGAAATGTGGTTCTACAGAAGGATGCTGAGGATACCATGGACTTGAACATGAGAGCAACAACAAAGTTTTAGGGATGGTGGAAACAAAAAGAAAACATTAATATCAGGAAGAGGAATTTGAAATCTCTGGGATACTTAACGAGGAAGGAAGGTTTGGAAAACTGATACTCACAGGAGAGATTGAAAAACAGAGAAAAACAGCATGTAACTTGATGAGCTTAAATAAATGCATGGTGGAACAGCATTTGGGAGAAATAACAAAAAAACTAGATTTATTAAGAGCTACAAAGGACAGGATGATGTGGAGGACCATGATTACCTATATCTTGAAGGGACATAGCACATAAAAAAAATAGGTAGGGTGGTTAATTTTTTTTATTTTTTATTTTTTTAACAAAGCACACCAACTGAGACAACAAAGTTTTATTAAAGAAAATGTACCTCTTGGCTGGGATTGAACCTGTCCAAGGAGAACCAGATTTCAGCTAGTTACATTTTAACTACTCAACCATCGAGATCTTTAAAGCAAGATTCAGTTAGCCCTTTCCTCAAATGCACATCTCTTGCTGGGACTGTTAATGTCCATATCTGTTAACTTCTGTTAACTTACATTTTTGTATACGAAATGGGAACAATTTTATATATATATATATATATATATACACGCACACAAGGATTATGAATTTTTTGTAAACTTACCTTCCTGTGTTGTAAATCAATAGACTTTTGTTCAAAAGTAATGAAAAAGGCATTAATTTTAGTTCTTGAAAAAGGTCACCCCCCACCCAAACTGAAAATTCGATTTTACCATATACACTATAAAAAAAGGGTAAAAAGTCCAAATATTTCAGAAGCTTTATTTTTCAATTTGCTAATGATGCAATTGGATAATACTTGTTTTAATGCATTTAACAGTTTATAGCTATAGCATAACATACAACCTTATAAATAGTTTTAGTATCATTACTGGAGGCCTGAATGATCTTTTTCCTCTCACCATTTCTCAGTTGTGAAGATAGTGGGTCTGACACAAAACAGTTTTAACCTGCTCTCTTTTTAGCTGAATAACTCAAAAGGTTTTTTAGTGATTCTTACGAAAAATGGTGTCAAGATAGCTAAACATCTTATCTGAAAACCTGGAAAAAAGAAACTCGATTAGTGTAGTGGTTTTTTAGATATTAAACATTTTGTAGGATGGATAATTATGCTGTATATAATATATTTATTACTTTAAACATTTTTAGTTGATACGCGTCTTTAAGTAGGTGCTCATTTATTTATTTTCACACATTGGCCTGAATGTTCCCGTAATCTCACTAAAGAAAAAAAATTCCTTTTCTTTACATTTGGATACAAATATGATAAATTTTAAGAGGATTTGACTGGAGAAATTTTGCTTGAAAACATCAAACTAACTTTAACTGACAATCTGTTCTTTGTGGCCAAGTAGCAAGGTGTACTGGGCTTAAATGGTAGCTTCCTTTGCCCTGAGGAACACAAGTTTGATTTCTGCCGAAGAGTGCAAGTTTTTCTTTAATAAGATTTTTCAAACATTCAGGCAAATATGCAACTTTGTTTCAGTGCATTTACCATCTTTGTAGTGAGTAAATTGTATTTGTCTGTATGAAAAAATTATAATAAATAATTATTGCTTTACTATCGATATTGAGCCCTCTTTTGAATTAATGCTGTGAACCTTAGAACTTGCATATTATTTTCATTCTCATTACATTCGGAAATATATATATATATATATATATATATATATATATATATATATATGCAGTAATCAGATCATTTTGACATTGTTTAATAAGTAATATAAATTGGAAATAATTGAAAAAAAAAAATGCCATTCTCCAAAAGATGTGAACTAATCCTATGATTAGATTTGATTTTTACAAGATATGAACTAATTCTATGTCCTTCAGAATTCGTTTAAAATGGATAGCAACTTACCAATGAGTCTATGGAAGCCAATTAGTAAACATAATTCAGATAGTCATATTACCAGTAGATTTTTGCTTAATCCAGTTCTGTGCTATATTGTTTGTTTACACTGAAATGTACCAGTAACTGAGAAGACTCTTTAGAAATCAAATCTAACCCTTTTTTTCTACCACCCTCTTCTGCTCTGTACCATATTTCTTTTTACATGACCCGTATTAGTGTCAGTGGTAAGGTTTTATTAAATGAAGCCTTGTCAATCATTAATTTTTAATGAGGATTTCTTCCATGTTAATCTTAATAGCTTTTCTTCTCGTCGTATTCGTAACGTCTGGAAATTTGTTTACATGGAGCATTATCAATCATAATTTTTGACTTGCATTAAATTGTTTTTTATTCTCACTTCAAACTTATCCTTTATTTTTTCAGTAATGGTTAACGAGGGTCATCTGGTTGACCATTACTACCAAGTAGTGAGTTTGATCCTCACTGGGTGCCCCATGCAAAATTTGACTTTGAAAAATACAAGGGTTAGCATGTTGTAAAATCAACCCCCCCAGAATAGGGTAATGATTAACAAGGCTAGTCTGGTTGACCATTACTACCAAGTAGCGAGTTTGATTTTCACTTGGTGTCCCATAGAAAATTTGGCATTAAATAACTCAAGAAGAGATGGCATGTCATAAAATCCAGAAACCCAGTTCAGCATGTGGTAATGGTTAACAAGGCTAGTCTGGTTGGTCATTACTATTGAGTCGTAAGTTTGATTCTCACTGGGTGCCCCATACAATATTTGTCATTAAATAACCCAACAGAGATTGATATATCATAAAATCAATTAACCTAAACCTTTATTTTCGTGGAGATTAAAGTAAATACTACTTAAGAATTAATAATAATAATAATAATAATAATGACGGAAAGTGCTATGATTAACTGAAGATGAATGTCAAACCTAATTCAAAATCAATAGTTATGACGACATTGCATCATTTAGTAAATGGATAAAAAAAAAAAATAATAAAATCTATTTTTATTGGTTTTTGTTCTGACCTGTTATTCAACTCATTTTAAAGAACTGTTTCGTGGATGCGTGGGTGGTGTCATGCATAGTGGCTCAGGATAAGAAACTGGAGAGCTGAGTTTGAATTCAAGTCTGATTGCATACATTTACTTTATATGCAAATACCTTTGGGAAAAGGTATGAATCCAAACAGAACAGCACCCCACAAAACCCCCAGCTAATGCTTAAATAGTTGGACTTGTATATTCTCAAATGCAATATTTACTTGTGAAACAAACGAAAAAAAGAATTCTGATTATTTAGACTATTTACATTTGGACTATTGTCCTCTTCTTTCTTGTTGCTTTGAAAACATTTCGAGCATTGTGCCCTCTGGTCCTGATCAGGACTATTATTGATCTTGGTAACTCTGTGTAGTAGGTTGCCTGGATTGATATACAAAATATAATGATAACAACAACAAAGATGAGGACAATAGACTGAATGTAAATAATAACTCCCTATTCCAGAAATTCAGACAGTTATTTTTTATTTCTTTTTTCTTCTTTTATTGGTTTTTCATTGGTTTTTCTTTTCTTTTTTTCTTTTTCTTTTTCTTTCTTTTTTTCTTTTTCTTTTTCTTTCTTTTTTCTTTTTCTTTGTTTTTTCTTTTTCTTTTTCTTTATTTTTCATTTTCTTTATTTTTCATTTTCTTTGTTTTTCGTTTTCTTTGTTTTTCGTCTTCTTTGTTTTTCGTCTTTGTTTTTCGTCTTCTTTGTTTTTCGTCTTCTTTGTTTTTCGTCTTCTCTCTCTTTCGTCTTCTCTCTCTTTCGTCTTCTCTCTCTTTCGTCTTCTCTCTCTCTCTTTCTCTCTCATCTTCTCTCTCTCTCTTTCTCTCTCATTCTCTCTCTCTCTCTCATTCTCTCTCTCTCTCTCATTCTCTCTCTCTCTCTCATTCTCTCTCTCTCTCTCATTCTCTCTCTCTCTCTCATTCTCTCTCTCTCTTTTTATACTTGTTAAACTTTACCGATTTTTTATATAAATAGAAAGTATGCAGCTTTGGCATTAAATTGTCTTTTAATTGATGCTCCTTACCTGGGTCATCGACTAAAGTCTTCCCAACTGGCTCCTGCTGCGCTTTACGAGTAGGACCAAAACACGCTTATTACTGTAAAGAAAAGCTCAAAATCATTTATGCAGTCGTGTAAGAGAAAACTTATTCTCCACTTGACAAACTAAACCACAGATGCAATGTTGCAAGTCTGTCACTACTCTATTTTCATGGCAAATAGTAAAATAATTCCACTCTTTACTTCCACTAGTTCAGACCTTTACAATTCTAACACACCATGTTAACTCCAAGGACTTGAGTTAACACCCCCCCCAAAAAAAAACATGTTCCAGATGTAATAAGAATGTTCCACTTGGATAGCTTTTCTTCCCAAGAACTGTATCTTCATAGAACAAACTCCAATGTGGGTGCTTCCCTAAATATTACAGTGTTTGATTTTTAGTTAGGGCTCAGTTATTATGTTTTCTACATTTCCATCACTCTCAGTAACTGTTGTCTTAGTGGCTTTATTGCTTTGCCTTCGGTGAAGTGATTTAAAAAAAATTTCTCAAAACAAATTTGATTAATACAATGTTCTAGATACCTGAATAAATTTTGTGATTTTATGTTACAGCTCCTTGACATTCTATAACCTTCATTAGTTTTTTGCCAGGGATTTTATTAACTTTTCCAGGAAAAGTGTAATGAACTGAAATAGCTAAAATCCA